CGGAGTACCCCATGCGGCTATCTCCTGCCACACCTCGCTACAGTGGACACCATTCCCCAGCTCTGCTGAACCAGAGCGCCTTGGCACAGCCTATCAAGCCAGAGCTTAACGCCAACCCAAAAATGCTTCCTGATGGGGATCACCAACAGATTCCTGGTGTCTACAGTCCAGGGAGCACACCTAATGCTCCGCTCAGCCCTCAAATTGGTTCTAGACCATTGGATGCAGAAAAGGAGGATTGGGAGCTGGAGACTGCAGAGAAACAGTTAAGTGCAGAGACCAGACCGGCAGCTTCTACTCCTCCACCCCAACTATCCAACGGAAACCCCAGCCAGGCGGTGCTGGAGTTCGCCCAGTACTTAGACTCTCTATTCAGACTGGACGGCAGCTGCTCACCGCCTCTGGAGCTGTCTGATGGGGAGTCAGAGTCAGGCCGGGGTTCCTTTGGGCAAGGTGAGTGTCTTGGAGATGGACAGCGGTTGGATGACAAACAACTTCTGGCCAGAGCAACACTAGAGCCAAATCTAGTCCCCAAGCCCCCACGCACTTTTGCCGGATCTGCTGATCCCTCTTCGGGCATCTCTTTGTCACCCTCCTTCCCTCTCTCGTCGTCTGAGGAGCTCAACGACCTTTCCCCCGGTGAGGTTGCCCCACCAGCCATACACTCCCTACGAACATCTACCCCTTGCCACTGCCCTGAAGAGAACACACTATCATCTATGGTGTAGCGTGCTCCCAAGACTCTGATGTCCTTTGCCCTAAATTGAGAGGTGCAGTCATCCAAATTTTGAAACATATCACAGTACATGCATGCAATGGAATGCAGTCACTCATCAGAGATCCAATGACAGAACTTGACTGATCACCTCACAAACTGTTTCCATTCTTCAGGTGTCCCCTCTGAACGCTGTTTATAGCATTTTCACACTATTGCAATGACTAAGAAAAAAGATACCTCTCTCTGCATGCCAGGGGGCTGTGCTGCTTTTGGGTGAATATAAATAACTGTAGCTTCACGATGCCATTCCAAAACGATGTTGTCTCACCCACATAGGGAGGCGTCAGCATTACATCAATTCCCTGACTTAACAAAATCAAAGGGAGAATAGTTAACTGAGCAGGGATTCAAAAACTAACACTGTAGAAGAGGTTAGCATAGGCACATCATCTGGGGTTGATGTACTGTACAACTTCCTGCACCCTCAGAAGCTCCAGAAATTTTGTCCAGCTTTTATTTTTATTTTATTTTTTAAAATCAGGAATGTGAAGATGGACATATTTGTCAATCAATAGAAGTGAGAAGACATTACGAAATGTTCCTCAGGTCTATAAAGAATTGACTTTGAGAAAGAGAGTATGTGTGTTACATTGGTGAGAATTTGTGTGTCTTAAGAATTTAGTGATTGTGACAAACTTATTACAGACGCCTATGGATGTTTTTGAGTCTTTTGTTTACTCTTTATAGTGCATGAAGACATTTTTTTTCTTTATTTTTGAAGAGAAATTGTCACTAAGCCACTTAGATTGACATTTGAATACTCTTGCACACGTCATATTGCTCAATTTAGCCCCCTTTGCCAAAAAATTTAATACATTGTATTGCCAAATGTATTTATGAGATGTAATTTTGTATATGTATATGGATATTGCTTTATTTAAACACAAGCTAAGTTCATTGTCTCCTCCCCATAGCCATACTGTTGGATCTCATGTAGACTGTTACACAGCAACACCACGGAAAAGATGTCGTCATGTTAAAACACTGCCATGGCTTTCATTTTAAAAACACAACCTCTGCACCTTGGGTTTGAACCAATAATGAACTTGCTAATAGTCCCAATCTCATAACTACTGTACCTTTCTCTTTGGAGAGCTCTTAGCAACGTGCCCAGGTCAGGGTCTGCATGCTTTATGCATTTCAGAGTAGCATGGCTGGTATATAACTAGTTTTGTCATTAAGTCACAGTAAATAAGCTCTAAACATGTCCAGACATGATCATACGTGTAAACTCAAACCTTTGAGAGGCTTTTTAAATGCCCAGGTCACCTGACAGGACCAAACTGTGTATCCTAAAAGTGTCCCAGGATATAATTTTTCTTGTTCTCAAGGTGCTCTCAGTCATCTTGGATGTCAAGGTGTTTGCTTCCCTTTAATCCGGTTCATCTCAAACATGCTTGAGGTTGGACCGAATGAGTAAATGGGCTCGGACATTATGTATGCCAATTCTAAATACTGTATGTGGTATACAATCTTCCATATCACTCTGGGTGTAACAGGTGGCTCACAATTTGCATTATTTATTATTGTTAATGTTAATATCACTTTTATTGCTATATTTGATGGTATTATTATCCTTACTGCGCTTGCAACAGATTGGTTTGATGTCAGTGGTTTTTATCTCAGTTTTTGGAACAGTGTGGGGAATTTTTTAGACTTTCCCAAATGTAAGGAGTTATATATTTCAGCTTTTTTTCTGTCTGAGTGGAAAAGTATGTTACATTCTCCCATGGCATGGTGACAATATGCTCTTTTTACAAATCTTTCCTCGTGGTGAGACATGCCGTAGAGTGACAGCCTGTTCACAGTGACCTTTGGTGCAGTGCCACCATCAAGCCTGGAGTCACCATAGTGATCATCACTGTCTATTTGGAACAAGATTTGCTGTGGTTTCTCACATCAGACATTTCCAGCCAGTTTACAGTCTGACACTCCTCAAATCATGCTGCCAGTCCCAGTAGTCTCTCACAAGATACGCAAAGGTTGGGCCAGCGGTTTCCTACACTCACTAGCTTTGCTTGCAGGCAGTCATACACTAAACACTGCTGAAAGGAAGCACTATAATACTTTCCATCATGATGTGTACAGCACCATCTTCTATGTGTAATTATTTATGCAGATGTCTAAAAAAAAAAAAGATAAATTCCAATAGAGTCATGTAGAGAACAAATATATAATAAGGAGATGATGACTATATTAAAAGAGATCAGTATTGACATATATATATAAAAAAAATATTTCATTTGAAAGTTATTTATTCAGACTATTGGCAGATTTACAAATTGGTCTATATTGAAAGAAGAATAATTCAACTATGTCTTGTCCATGTTTACCTGGTTTGCTTCCCCTCCTTTCCTGCCCCAAAATGAGAATGTATTTAATCCCTCCCCCTCACTGCCCTGCCTGTAATGGAATAAACTACAAACTATGAAAATATAACTATGAATTTTTGTCACATCTCTTTCAGCATGAGGTACTGGTATACTGTATAGTGTCTGTTTAAATGAGTCACAAATTTTAGTTCATTGTAGTTCATTTGCGGCTTATTTTCCTCACTGCTCCAAATTTAGTTGCGTGTTTCTGTTTATCTTGCATATGTTAATAAGAGTATAGTGTGAACATCAATGTCCTCTTTGTGAAAGTGTGTAATCAAGGTTCTGTTGAGTTTCTCCTAAAAGGTTCTGAATGTAACTGGCACATTTAAGCAGAGAATTATTCAGATTATCAGACTTGACTATTTGTAAAAGCAAATTGTTTTGAACTAATGACTTTTGATGCCAAGTACCCTGGATATATAAAGGATCGTACTTAGGAGGAAATTTTGCCAAATGGACCCATCCTGAAAAAGTCGGTGTGTCATCAGTTTTAGAAGTGCTGAGTGCAGATGGATTTTGAGTAAAGATGGCATGAGTTGTTCAGAGCTATATTTAAGCCCAAGTGTAGGTGCAGTGTATTGTGAGCATACAGTCTGCTACTGTTGAGCCTTATGGAGGTGTCACGAGTCAAATGACACAGCGTGGATGGGAGGTGTCTCTGTTTGACACACCTTGAACCTGACTCACAAAACAAAATAACTGAATAAGCTTGGTAACTGCACCGAAGAAAAACTTTAATACCAGTAAAATGTACACCATAAGAAAATATATGCCAATAACTCACAGTAGTTTGTGGGCATTTCATTAATTGGTTTATTTATTTATTTATTGTTTTATAAATCAATGTTGCTGTTAATATGCTCTAAAGTATAATGAGAAAATACTGTTAGGAGACAGGTAGCTCAGCTGTACACAGCTGAGATACATTCCTCATTAGCTGTAGACCTAACAAGCTGCCTAAACTCTTCTACCACTATTAATTATGGCTGTATCATAAGTCTGTTATAACAATGATACTATACTGCAGAGAGTATAAAATCAGCAGTGGGCTCACTTGAGTGTACCACCCAAGACTTTCCATTAACATATCAAAACATCCTTGAAAACAAGATGGTTCACCTCAAAATGAATTTTTAGGTTTAGGTTCCAGATTCTTATGTGCAAAAATAACACAACATATCCGATTTTGTCAGGGATAGAACAATACAGTCCTGAACTTATTTCCATTGTTGTCTCTGCTGTTTACACAGCCCAACCTCTTCGGGACAGTGGTGGGCAATATCCAGCATTAAGATATTCGAAAATAAGGCTAAAGAAAAGTATGTAATAGACAAACAATTGATAAAATCTTGTGAAAAAGGCACACAAAATAAGTAAAAGTCAGTGACATTAAAATATTAGTTGTCTGACATAGAGCAATATGTAAATATCACTAGATTAAAAAGTAGTTTATAATACCATATTAATATTTCCACATTATATTAAGGAATACTGTTAAGCAACCAACAACTGATCAGTCCCTATCACAAAAGAGAAGGTATCTGAGATGTCCAAACTATTCTCCAAACTAGAGTTACCACCTTACAATTGTATGCCTGGCCAACCAGCTAAGTTGCAGGAAATGTTGTGACAACCTCCCCTTCTGTTCCTGAGTTACAACCACGGATGTATTCAAGACCTATTTAAGAGTCTGGTAAAAAAACAAAAAAAAAAACATGTTCAGTTTACCTCCATACCACCAGAGGGAAGCAAAGTATCAACCTCCTGAGTCACAACTACGTGTCAGAAACAAAGAAGAATAACTTCCGGAAAATCACTGCAAGATTTCCGAGAGCGCTACTGTTAGCTTAAAGCTAGGTTAGCATTAACACTGGGTTCTTAAGTGTAGCCTGATTTCTAACCGTAGCCATGAATTAAGAGGCAACTGTCAAACCCTTTTCCGTTCAACGTCTCGGTGGGTAAAACATATAGCTATAACTTCGGGAATTTACCCTCTCTTCCACAATTTTATAGCATTTAATGATGTCAGGCAGTGAGCTAATTTAGCATGAATGTTTACACAGCTGTGTTAGCTAACTGACTTCGTTAGCTGCGTTTAGCCATGTTAGCTTCGTAGTTAATTTAAACTAAAACAGTCTCCCACTGTTCTGACAGTTTTGTTTTTATCGCGTTATGGTCAATATTATTGGCAAATAATGTATTGTCAGTATGTTATCGTTACAATTAACTATACGTGTCGTTGACAGCAAAGGCATTCAATAAACATCATATAAACAGCTCATTTATCTTGATATGGAAATTATGCACTGCAACTTTAATATAAAAATACTGAGATTTTGGGCGACCCGTAACCTACATAGTCTTGAGTAACGTTACAGGCATCAATTGTGTGTTTTATTTTGACCTGTTAGACAAGGTAAACTACTTGTGTATGAACTAGGGCTGCAACTAACGATTGTTTTCGTTATCGATTAATCTGTCGACTATCTCCTCCATGAACCATTTATCATCAGACCTATAAATTCGGTTTCCTATATCCTATGAGAAATAAAGGCATTGCTTTCTTACGTTTGTGAACTTGAACCAGACAGAGTTTTTGTTTAAAAAACAGTTAGTTATCAAACTAGTTGCTGATTGTAACAGCTCTAGTATAAGCAGTACATGAAGCTGTCACTGATTTGATGCATGTCTTTACAGTGGCTGATTGGACAGAGAGGTGTTAGACATGTATGCCTCTGGGAAATACAGCTCACGGGGCCCTGCTCTTATCCCCCGGATGAAAACCAAGCATCGCATATACTACATCACCCTGTTCTCTGTGGTTCTGCTTGGATTAATTGCCACCGGGATGTTTCAGTTCTGGCCCCACTCCATTGAGTCCACAGCTGACTGGACCCTTGATAAACGCAGTGTCCATGATGCACCTCTGGTCCGCCTGCCTGTCTCCAGCCCCATTCCTGAGAGGGGTGACCTCAGCTGTCGCATGCATACCTGTTTTGATGTGTACAGATGTGGCTACAATCCCAAGAACAGAATCAAGGTAACTGTCCCTCAAAACAACCATCACATCATTGAGCTTACACAAACTAAGGATATCCTCCCTTCAACATTTTGCAGATTTCTTTGTTAAAATTTTAATCCATTGTGGAAATGGTTGCTTTTGTAGGTCTACATCTACCCTCTGCAGAGGTTTGTGGATGAATTGGGGGTTCCCATCAGCAGCACTGGACTGTCTCGAGAATACAATGACCTGCTCAGTGCCATCTCTGACAGCGACTTTTACACTGATGATGTCACCAGGGCTTGTCTTTTTATCCCATCTATTGATGTGCTCAATCAGAACTCCCTGCGTATCAGAGAGACTGCCCAGGCTCTGGCAATGCTACCCAGGTAAACATTTATACTAGACCCAGTCAGTCAAACCGACAACATTAAATTTTCTGTTAAATTTTCAGTTTTATTAATCCGTCGTTCCTCCATTAATCTTGTGTGTGATTGGTAGATGGGACAAAGGGATGAATCACCTGCTTTTCAACATGTTACCCGGAGGCCCCCCAGACTACAATACTGCCTTGGATGTGCCCAGAGACAGGTACTCATAAGTACATATTAAAAGCCATTTTAGTATTTAAGAATGCTTCATTGTAATGTGAAAGTAATCTTTGTGAAATCAAAAATGACCAATAATGGTTAATTATTCCAGTATTTTCAAATAATACAGTGGAATTAATTACATTGCTGGCTGCTTGTTGTTAACAGGCTGCGTTTACATGATGGGAATGTGTAGAGAGAAACGCTCATGCATTTTTGCATCAGCTGATATACTACCAGAGTCAGTTCAGACATCTACAACTTAAAAATGATGTAAGATTTAAAAGTTTTATTCCAAACACCAGACAGGAGGGAAGCATGTTGTTATGATTCATGTGTTTAGGATTCCTGTCAGCAGTTCCCACTTCTAACAAAGACAAATCATTTCTTGTTTATTTATATTATGTTTCCTGGACAGATGAAATTAATATCCATGCAACAATGGATTATGCAACCTTAAGTGGCATTTACCATAAGTGTAGTCACTCCTCGAGTGTTAAGAATTATCATTTGATGACGATGAAAGAGATATTTACAAGCAATGAGGACATAAAATATTTTCAGGAGGCCTTGAGGAGACATTTCAAATCTGGTTGTATTTAGCAAGAGCAAAGAGCTTGTGTCTTTCAAGATGCCCTGTGGGCTAGAGTGATGGTTGACTATGGAAGAGGATGGGTTTATGAACATGCAGCCTTGAGACAATGAACACTATCTTTAGCTGTAGAGAATTTCCTGAGCTCATCCAGCTGGAGTCCATTTGGCATGGAGCCTCATCATAACCAGGTGTGTGACTGACAGTGTGTTTCCATCTTATAGTCTCCTTGCCTGAGAATAGAACTGATTTTCAAAATTCATTGTATCATCAAGTGGACTAACATGGGATCAATCAACCAGATCACTAAGCCTTGTTTGATACCACTTGTGTCTTACGTCATTATTGTTAGTAGCAAAGTGCTAACGGGAAGGAAAAGAACCAATAAATGAGTTTGCATTTTGAAGTATGTTCCTGTAGCTCATGTCATGTGTGGTGAAGCATTGTTACAATCCAGGTCCATTTGTTTCAGAGCACTGCTGGCTGGAGGTGGTTTTTCTACATGGACCTACAGACAAGGTTATGATGTCAGCATCCCAGTTTACAGCCCACTTTCTGCAGATGTTGAGCTGCCTGAGAGACAGCCTGGGTGAGCACATCTCACACATTAACTCTCATTGTTTTATTTGAGTGTCACGTCATGAGCAAATTACAGTGACTTTACTTATTTTATCCATCAACAACTTCTCTACAGACAGTGCTCCAAGGGAACAAAATTATATGTGATGTTTAGAACGGTCTTCTCAATAAAATAAAATAACTTGTGGTTTATCAATACTCTTTAGGCTAATTGCTGATTAAGTAGTTATTTGAAATCAACAATGTAAAGTACGACTTGATAAGTTGCATATTTCTTGTTGTCATTCCCCAAGGCCGCGGCGCTACTTTATTCTATCTTCCCAAACTGCCATCCACCGAGAGTACCGTGCTGAACTGGAGCGTTTGAAGGAAGAAAATGGAGAAGCACTGCTCCTCCTGGACAAATGTAGCAACCTCTCCCAGGGTGCCGCCTCTGCACGAAAACGCTGCTACAAGGGACAGGTGTATGACTACCCACAGATCCTGCAGGTGGGAAGCACAACTGCGTTCAATATTATTTATTTCAACGATGAAGAATATCAAGATGTATTATTTTTGTTAAATGCACCACTTTCCTGAATTTGGCAACAAAAATCTGATCTCTTATTTTTGGTGTCATAATTATTTTTTAGTAACTCAATAAGAAATTCCGTTCTCAAGTCCTTATATTAATATCACCAACAATGGGTGCTTGTTCTAGGAAAAAATAATGCCATATATGCGTTTGAGTAGCTTACAGGCTCATCGTTTACTGCTCAACAATGATGAGAACTTCAGTTCCTGGATCCTCGTAGTTCCTCAGCCTTTATTAAGTACTTGTGTTGGAGCAGGTACATTTTGGGAGGTTGAAATAAAAACTCAGGAACTAAAACTGGGAACTAGGATACTGTTGTCAAAATGCAGTTAAAGTTCCAAAAATGTTCTTTGGTTCTTGAATAAGTTTCTAGCAGTGGAAATGGGTCAGTTAAGCCCGGTTTTAGTTTGTTTGTCTGAACAGTGCAAAATCACATGGCCCATTAACGGTTTGTTCCCAATGTATCCCTACAGGAGTCGTCGTTCTGTGTGGTTTTGCGTGGGGCACGATTGGGTCAGGCTGCCCTCAGTGATGTGCTGCAGGCTGGCTGTGTCCCCGTCATCCTCGCTGACTCTTACATTCTGCCATTCGCTGAAGTACTTGACTGGAAAAGGTCCGCCTAAGTCACCAAACAGTTGAAAACAAGTAAATGGTTTGACAGTTTGCCATTTTTACTTCACTAATTTAATGTTTCTGCACAGGGCATCTGTGGTTATCCCAGAGGAAAAGCTGTCAGAGATGTACACCATCCTAAAGAGTATTCCTCACAGACAAGTTGAAGAGATGCAGAGACAGGTAACAGTCACAATGTCTAACTAATCGCGCAGCAAAACTTATTTTAAAGGGCCTTACATTGTTTGAGAACTCACATTGTTTTGACATTGTAGTCAGGGGTGCTGCCACTGGAGTTAAAGCACTTGCATGTCATGTCTTACATGTGCCTATACCTTAACCAGCCAACCTGTCACATTTATGGAAGCCAAAACAAATTTTATGTGTTGTGCGACAGATACAAATTTGGATACCACACTCACTTTTCTGAGTTTGAATTTCCGTCTTTGCTCAGTCTACATTTTAAAAAGCTTTTAGAAGACTCAACTGTGTTGATATTTGCTTGAGTGAATATACAGAGGACGGCTCATTCTCCCTTTCCATTTGATATCTGCATTGAGCCACAATAAACAAAAGTGAAAGCAACTATGAGAAAAGTGCACCAGTTCAGCTGCTCCTCATTCTCTTGTGTCAACTCTGGTCCATTTACCAATTATACTGGCCAAACAGACATTTTAGGCCAAGGGCTCAGAGACACGCTTAGGGTTGGATTACACCAGACAAGCTCAAAAACATGGCTTGCTCGTGAGGTGGTTGCATTGGGTGGAGGGGTGTCCTGCTGAGTATGGCTCACAGCTAACTTGGTATCAAAGGTCTGATATTGTTTTGTTATCCACTGGTCACAGTACTCCTCTGCCTGCCTGGATGGTGCACAGATGGATTGAATTGGTTGCAAGTTCATTCATGTCTGAGACATTTTTCAACAGAAATCCTTTTGCTGAGTTTGGTGAAACTAATGGTGCACCGCTCTATAGGATTATTTTGTGTTATTTGTCACAGTTTTCGCCATATTATAGGTTTACCTCTTGAAGATAATGGGTCCATCCTAGAATCCTCACTTGTGGTATTTGCAAGTCATCAAATGCCTGCTTGTGTGACAAATTTCCGGTAACTGCCACAGTACTCAAGTGCGTTTTAAGATTGCAAGCATATGGAAGTTCAGCAGAGCTCACCAGGACATGTTTGATTAATAAGAACATCACGTCACTCCCACAAATACAATAAGTCTACAGGGCTCAGTTGAGTAATAGTAGGAGACATAACTATAAATTTGTAATGTTAAGACATGAATAATGATATTTACGCTGATTCCAACATGTCATAAGCTGAAACCTCTTCATGTCTGCTAATTTATTGTGGGTCCTGGAGCCCAGCAAAGCCTCAACATTGATTTCTTATTCACTGATATGGTTGAGCCGGTGTATTTCATTAGTTTGTCCAGCAGATGGCTCAGCAGCTTTTGCTTTCATAGTGTGTCTGGTTTTGTTCCCATGTGGTCTGACTTTTGTGCTTACAAATGAAAAAATAGGCAATTCATACTTACCTCAAAGGAAATACCACATAATGAACAACTTTTATTTAACTTTTGTTTGTTTAGTATAGTTTACTATAGTTTTGGGTTTAGGTAGTTTAGGTTTCAACATAAATTATTGTTACACCTTTTTAAGAGTCAGAGGTCAGAGAGCAGAAAAAAAACAGCTGGCCTGAAGAAGATTAATTGATCGTTTGGGTGATTTGGTCCTCACATTGGTTTTCATTGTTGTTCATCAGTTGTCTTTCCGGGAGATCAAGTGTTTATCAAATATTGTGTTTTTTTTTTTTTTTCTTTTTTTTTTTTTTTTTCTTTTTTTTTTTTTTTTTCTTTTTTTTTTTTTTTTTCTTTTTTTTTTTTTTTTTCTTTTTTTTTTTTTTTTTCTTTTTTTTTTTTTTTTTCTTGACTATAGCAGAGTAACGTCTATATAATGAGCGACACTACAGTTTCACTTCATCATGCAGTGACAGAACATTTGTTTAACTTATGGAGCAAGTCCTGTTAGAGACCAGGTCAAATTGTGATAGGCTACTGTTGAGCTTCCATCAGTAGACTTGTTTCAGATTGCAGAACTAATTTTCAAATTTGAGATGATGTAATAGCATCCATTTAGGTCACATTTTAAAAGGCTACATACTAAAGAGCTGCAAAATGTTAACAGTGCTCAAGTGAGACCACTGAGCTCATGTTTGTGTACTTTCTCCCAAGAGCCTTATTTGGGTCATATCCTCAAAATAGGACACATACAAAACAGACCTTTATTGGATTAGCACAGTCAAGTTAATTCTGTTATTAATTAGAAGATATAAAATGGGAAGAGAGAATCATTGCTCATGATGGAGTTCAACTTACTCCTTATCCTTTCTTCTGCCATTGTCTTGATATTGAGCTTTGACCTGACAACCAGCTTTTTCTTTCAGACCAATTCTACATTTTCTTTGTTGTAGCCTCCCATACACTGTATACAGTCTATGTAGACTCTCCAGCACTTGACCAAGCAGAACAGTATGCTGGCTGCAACTGATTTGTAGAATATGTCAGTCAGTTTGCTCTTCTCTCCCTTACATGCTGTCTGCTTTTCTTCCGTCCAATCTTCTTTTTACATGCAAGGATGATGACAGTTCTCAGTGGCTTTTTGGTCAGTCTGATATGTAATAACAGATCCTTTATCTGAACGGTCTAGAGTTGCAGATTTTATCTCCTTGAGCTATCAACTGAGATCTTCCACCAGATTTCTGTTCTTTCTGACTTTATAATGAAATCTAAAGTGTAAAGGTTGAACAGAAGTGGACACAGTGCAGTCCCATGGTGCACCGTGTTGCACTGCAGAATGTTCAGACCCTCACAAACTATGGTCTATCAGTGGGGTACTCTGTAATCCAGGAAACCACGGGGCTCACTAGCACCAAGACTATGTAATCCCACATGAAACCAGCCGCTAACAGTGCTCTTCAGTCGTGGACCTCTAGACACAAAGTCCTGCTACTTTTTATTTTAACTTTATTTTGATTTACAAGTGTGTGTGTGTAGAAATGTTTTGATCATCTGAACATTTCTACACACACACGCATACACATGACTTGTTAATGATCACAGCCAGAAGTAAAGTGCTAATAAATCTCAAACAAAACAATATTGTCAGTGAGTAGCTCACATGATTGAAACAGACTTGGTTTCACTGCTGGTTTTGATTATGTCGAAAACTCTAATGATTGTCTGGTTCTGTCCACAGCTCACTGGCTGCCAATTCTGGTCTATAGGTTGAATCATCTGTCAGGCACTCAACAACTTCCAATGAGTTGAACAAAGCAATGCAGACTACTGTATTCTAAATTGCTTCTGATAATCTCTTTGACCTTTATTTTAACATTTTAAAGAACAAAAGAGTGAAAGCTGCTGGGGAGTTCTTTAAACTAGAAGGAAATGAGAAGATAATTTGCTTTTAACCAAGCATTGCATCGCATGACTGTTAAGTTTGACTTACAGAGGGATATATTTTGGACACTCTTGCAGTTGTTTGTATTATTTATCAATATTTGCAACAATTTTATGATTACAATTTACATTACATATAATTTTCTTTTTATTGGTGAAATGAATTTTGGTTAGCTCATGGACTGAGACTGTTTTATTTGCTCTATTTGTTCTGCTAAACAGATAACAAAGTGTAGACTATAGGCCCAAGGCTGCAATTGGAAGATGGAGTAAAGTTTCTCTTCTTCTCTTACAACGTTGTGTCTTCTTCCCTACTCATAAAAATTCCTGCAGGCCTGGGAGCGGGTGGAGGGTGGTGGGACGGGCCCTCGGGCCAGCACAGTTTGCTTTCTGCGTCCTCCCAGTCGGAAAAGAAACTTTCATCACTGGCTGATTTATGGGCCGTTGGGATTCCCCCCTGAGATTAGAAAGTCTTTTTGGATTCCCCTCACCCCCTCTATAAAAATAAATGCTGTTTTGTGTTCTACTCAAATGCTTCATCCCATACAGAGATATGGGTGATTTAGGCAATGGTCACATGTTGTTCACGTGCCACAAAGGACTTACTTTGTTAAACATAGAACACACACATTAGCCGAAAATACATACCGGCGCATTCCTATAGGAGGACAAGATAGAAATATAGCTCACTGCTGTACACACAAACACTCAAATCGTCACATCTTCTACCACGGAACTGTGGGTCATTGAGGAGCTGGTGGGGTGGATTTGGGTCAGTGTAGCACGGTGCCTCCTGGCAGGAGACAGTGTTGTTTAAAGCTTCATTAACTCTTATAGGGCTCTTTCGCCTCTGAACTGTCCCTTGAAGTTTCTTAATAGTATAGGGGTCTGCAGGAGACGAGGGGGCTAGACATATATGTCATGGTCAGTCACACTACTCCAGATTGTTCAGTTCATTGTAACTTGCATAAATATACAGGTTTCTTTTATTGATTTCTCTTAAAATTCCTTCCTCTCTGCATCTCAGCCATAACACAGTCAGAGTCTAAATAACCTATATGAATAAACAAATTCAGTGCACAGGTATTCTTGGTCACGCTTGCAATCTTGGCTGAAAAAAAACAACAACTATGAAGTGAATCAAGGATGAGGGCAGTTGAAGTTGAGTATTCCATCAGCCAATGTGATAACATTAAGATATGGGTTAAGAGTTCACTTTTCATTAAAGTCTGTTTTGCGCATCAGAGATCTGTTGAAATAAAACAGGCACAGGCAAAAGACATTTCAGAAGTCTTCAGAAGAACAGTTGTTGAAGAGCAAGAGGCTGGAAAGGGCTCCAGAACTCTTTAAAGACATGGACCAGGGGGGAAAAAATCTGGATTTTACAGTTATGACTTCACACTGGTGTTACCTTCTGTCATGTATTCTCTGGGGTAAAATGAGAATAAAAAGACAGAAACTGTAGCAATAGCAACATCTCAACATTTTAATGAAATCTTATTCAAGTTAAGGTGAATTATTGTAGCATGTGTAAACAAAATCATTGCCTTCAGTACAGATAAACATATAATTATTCTGTGTTACTTGATCATTAATAGTTCCACTATGGTGACTAATTCTGGAACAGGGTTTGCTTAGACCTGTATGCAGAAAGTTTTGATCTGACAAGATGGTAATTTTTTTTTGTTACATATGTTTGGTTTTTTTTCATTGGTCACTGCAAATATGCAATTCTGCACCTCTGTATGATCAACATCTGTAAAGTGAATATCTCTGAGAGTTGAATAGAAAGTGCTGTGTTTGGGCAATATGCATTTTCATAAATGTGCAATGCAGTGTTGGCCCTTAAAACATGTATTGTGTTTGCTCTTTTTTGCCCATTTTTGTTAGTGTGGGTACATTTCAAGGAGTTGTGTTCCATTTGTCCACAGGCACACTGGTTCTGGGAGGCCTACTTCAGCTCCATGAAGGCCATTGGATTGACAACACTCCAGATCATCAATGACCGCATTTACCCATATGCTGCACGCACATATGAGCAGTGGAACAATCCACCTGTGGTGGTATGTAACTGTGTGGACTTGATGTTGATATGCATTTTACAAGTATTTGTAACTAGCAGCAAGATTATTATGTTGTTATTCTGCCCTAACTTTCCATTATTGTCTTTCAGAAGTATCTGTTATTTAGTTATATCTATACCCTGAAGGCTGTTCTCTTCCAGCATCTATAGCAGCTATATAATCTATACAGTCTGTGTGCTCTACTGTGCTGATCCGGTCAGTTGTATTCCTAGAAGTCTTTTTATTGCAGACATCTGAATGACACCCATCCAGAATGGGGCTTTGACCATACAGATGCTCACAGTGCCACATAAGCCTCTGCACTCTTCTGTGACTTGTAAATCAAAGCCTCTGTGGCATAGTGACGGCAGTAGATGCCTTCCCTCTTTCTGAAGCCTCACATATGCAGTGCTTCATAGTTTGGTATACACCCAGCTAGCTCTGAGGCAGCCAGTTTGTGTCAGCAGTTCTGCACTAGGAGGATGCCTCCACTGTGGTGAAAAATAAGTTCCTGCATGTCTGAGTCATTGTGTTAGTAGAGAGTGCGCTGGATGTGAAGAATGGTGTGTGTGTTTAGCATCCCTGTGGTTGTGGGAGTTTGTGGTTGCAGACAGTTTGGCTGTGCGACCATCTCTCAGGAGTTGTTAATCAGCCTGGCCTGATCTAGAGTCTCCTCCATGCTCAGCCTGTGGGGTAGAGGCATGTGCATGTGAACGTGTGTAGATGCATAATAGTGTCTTTGCATCTGTCAAATGTCTGCAAGTATCCCAGTATAAGTAGATCCACTGAAATGCTTAGAGAGGTTGCAGTCACAATAGCACAATGTTAGTCATTTTAGTTCTGCTTAAACCTGTTCAGTCGTTCAGGATTGAGAGGTTTATGGTCAAGCAGCTGCTCAGTCTTGACCGTGGTTGCCTGTTTTCCTCTGAGCAGGTAGCTTGTTAATCAAAAGTTACACTTGACATTGCCTACTTATGTCAAAATGTTTTTCCTGAGCGTCTAGCCCCCAGTCCAATCTATCAGTATCACTCAGGTCTTAAGGTTTGTCCAGACCCAGAGGAGGTTAATTGTGTCACCGTACAGACCTTTTGGCCATTTCTGCCTGAGATGGGAGATGAAGTGTTTTCTCAATGGCTTCAGTGACTGGATGGTGAGAAGAACTTACACAGAGCACTAAATAAATCAGGCAGACATTTTCCCCCTCTCCTCCTGTAGTTCTTTAGGCTGGTAATTGAAAGCACATTTCCCAGGATTGCTGGTGCCTTTAGAGGGGGGTTTCAGAATAAGGGACAAGCTGCTTTTTGTTTGGGATTTGTAGGTAGTGGGCATACTTGTAAAGGTTTATACATTACAAGAATTGAGGCATTTCAAACTTTCAAATTTGCCAGAGTTTAAAACATTTTGTGGTGATTGGCACCTGGGCATATGGAAATCTTATTTGATCACCATCTTGTTTAAAAGTTACAGTACAGTCAGCAGTCAGTATTTGGACATTTTTGTTTTGACTCTGTTCTCCTGCACAACTGAAAATCAGCACTTAAACCACAGAGTAATTTTCTTTGGAAATCCAGTTGGCTGAACTGGAGCCAAAATGAAAAAAAAAAAAAAAACAATCACTTTCTTAATACTAATGTTGCAACTTTATTGTTTGCACCATTTACCAATAAATTAACAGATTAGTTTAAATCTACCACTACTGTGCCTCTACATCTGTGTAGACTATTAATACTTCTATGTGCTGTTAACATTGAATGTAAAAGTATAAAATGCATTTCAGTGGGAATGTTTCTACAGATAAACGGATAGGACAGACAGATAAAGGCATTTTGATTGCTCGGCAGTTCTTCATTTTATCTTGCTCTTAATCTACGTACCTTCAAGTTTCTAAAATGAATGAACGAACAACCTAAGTACTTCAAATAACCAAATAAAAGTTTTCTTTTTAAGTGTAAATATAAAGTATAAAAAACACCACTCCTTCAGATCTGTTGGTGACGTTGAGCTGTGGCTTTCTTTTCGTCTAATTTATTCCATTTGACAAATAACTTAAGTGGTTTCTGCCTGTTTGTGTTTTAATGCATTTGTGCTGCGTATATGTGTTAGTTTGATTATTTCCCCCTCCGCCTGAATGACAATGTGAGAACGGCCACAAGGAAGTTTCCACTTGCCAGTAAAGTGATTTTTTATTGGTGGGGGAGTGACTGATGTTGTGTAAAATGCAGTGTCTGTGTCTCTGTTAACAGACTTGTGTTGATGCTGTGGAAGGAGCCACATAATCACTCTGTGGTCACCTGGGACCAGAGGAGAAACAGGGTTTATGTGGACTTCAAGAAGCCCACAGATTTACTGTGTTAGATATGCTCTCTTTGCCCTTCTCAGACTGATTGTCACTGTAACCAGTGTGGAACATTTTTGGAGCCTTTGAAGTCTATCAAGAGTGAACCCCAATGCTCCTATATTTACTAGTCTTACAGTAACACATGCTTGTAAATGAAGTATATGGGTTGTCTTTTTATTTCACTCGAGAAAACAACCTTAGAAAACAAAAAAGGAAGTTATCGTATGCACACAGACTTAGCACTAGTTGTATCGTTTTCATGTCACTCTAATCCAAGTGACAGTAACTTTTAAAGTTTTGTTTTTAGTACACGCATACCATCAGAAAACTCTCCTGTGGCTTCCTTCATTTAACAGTGTCACTTGATCTAAGTTGCAGTCAGTGCTGTTCCCAGGATTTACAGGCCATTATAAAGGGGAGCAATGAAAGAAAAGCCAAGTTCCACGCTGACGATAGATGGCCACTTTTCACTACCTGGCCAACTCCACTCTTTCACTGTTCTGCACTTCCCCCCTTCCTCGTCTTTGTCCCATTTTATTTCACCGGCATCTCAGAGGAGTCTCACCAACAATAATAACATCACAAAAGCAGTAGATGCCATATTGTTGCCAACCTGTCGTATTTGTAATCTCCTACCCAATCTTTTGTGTTCTTTCGTCCTGCTGCTACTGTAGTGTTTACCTGGCATTGTGGCTGGAAGCTTTTGACATTCTGTGTCTCTGTTAGCCCCTGAGAGATATTACTGGGCGATTCTTGCTCCATAATAAAAACCATCATCTGGAAATTACTGCAGGTGACCTCACTGTCCTGTGAAGTATTATTATAGCACATTAAATCATGGAAAACATGACAGACAGGGCGGACACAGAAGACTTCAGACTAGCTCTACATTTCTGTTTCCATGGAAATGAAAAAGGATTAAAAAAAGATGTTTGTGGCTTAAACAGCTAATTTATTTTGTTTTGTTTTGTTTTGTTTGTCTCCTGTCTTGTGTAGAAGTGGTCCAGTGTGAACAGCCCTTTGTTCTTGCCACTTATCCCACCGAGGGCACCTGGCTTCACAGCAGTGGTGCTTACCTATGATCGTGTTGAGAGTCTTTTCCGAGTCATCACAGAAATCTCCAAGGTGCCTAGCTTGGCTAAGCTGCTGGTGGTGTGGAATAATCAGAACAAGAGTCCTCCTGAGGGTGAGTATAACAGATTCTAAGAAAATAAGAAAGTTCATGAAGCTATCCAAGCGCTTTAGTACTCAGTAATACCCAGTTGCCAGTTATTATGCTTGAAGCTGTGGTTTGTAGTGTTGTTGAATTATTTTTGCTCCTCCCCAACTGAGCAGTTTAGCCTCAACAACCTGTAACTTCAGTTCTACTGTAATGTAATGAAACATTCAAAGTTAAGCAGGTGATTTATTATTTTGTGCCCACAAATTATTCCCCCACCCCATGACAGCTGCCAGGCTTTGTAAGATTATCAGCCAGATCCAAACAAGAGTGGCTAATATAGTAACATCACTGAAACAAACTTTCCTTTACCCTGTCTTTGTTCACGCCAGGGTGCTTGTTAAGATCCGAAGTGAATCCTCTGATGCACAACAGATGAGTGAAAATGGCACTCTCCAGAATAAATGTTGTCATGACATGCCTAATACTAGAGCCACTTCTCTCTGGCTTTCTGTTTGACAGAGAGAGAAGTGATAGCAGGACAGCTGAGTTGTTCGTATAGTATTTTACTCAGCACCCTAAGCATAGGCACACATATAGTGCACTTAATGTCAGTTGGTCCAAGTCGTGACTGACAAAGCAGTACTATGTAAAACTTGTATTTTTATCATCTGTCCATTTCTGTTTTTTCTGCCTTTCATTACTGCTAGTTTGTGGCACAAGACTTCCTCAGGTGTACTCGGTAAGAGATGTGTCAAAGTAAGCTCTTAGTAGTTGTTATTTATTGTACCTTGTGCTCTGATTATTTGCCTTAATATGGCAATTAAGTATACAACAGTTAATCGTGCCTTATCCCAGTGATGGCTTGACTCAGACAAAGACTGTTCTTGAGCAGGAATTAAAGCAGTCCTGCTGCTGTAAGAGTTGGCTAATGTAATGAAGTAGTGAGAGGACTTTGAAGTGCTCCCTCGTGGCTGTGAGTGGCCTTTTCATTAGAGGCATCAGCGGCGCCTGGCTGGAGCTTTGTGACCCATTAGAATTAACAAGGGGCCATCGACAGGTCAGACTCATGGGGCTCAGTCCAATATGAAGGCAGATTTCTTTCTCATTCACACCAAGCCTTGATCTGTTGTGTTTACAGGCTCCTGTTTATTTTGCTTCTGTCTGTTTTTTTGAAAAAGTTGCTGACCAAGTAACAAAAATGTGTTTTTACAGTCTAGCATTATTCCGTTTTCTGTTTGTGAGTCTGAAGACTGTATTTTTGTAACAGACTCAATTGACATTATGTTTATCAAATTGCCTTGACTTGCTTTCAGTGTTTGTATCTGTTCTCACAAGGGATCACTTGTTCCTATGCAGCAACTGAGATTGACTGGTGCACTACAATAAGTGCAGAACACATAAAAGCATAAAAGCCAGAGCTTATTCTTCAGAACATGTAATTCTTTTTTGTTGATTTCTGAATGCAGGTCAAGGAGTCACAGAAGAATTAGCAGTGTGTGCATTTTGACCCATGCCAAGGTGGGGGCTAAAGATAATAGCCTATAATTCCCTCACTCCTACTGTCTCTTTCCAACCTCAGAACTAAATGAAGGGCTGACAGCAACACGGACAGAGTGAAACTCTGGGCATTTAACATAGCAGTTTTTTTGACAATAGCTTTTGACAGGAGACGTGGTTAGGAGGACCTGGAGCTCTTCTTATAGGCTGCCAGGCCCCAGTTACCCCATTAATGAGGGGACACATTCTGTGTGATCTGTCTGTGCCATAGTCCGTGCCATGGACACTACCCAAGATCTTTGAAACACTCCCCTGAAAAAACATTTTGTTGGTCTGTCTCATGAAGAATCGTAGTGTGGTTAGATTTGCACGTGCTTGAGGTTAGCGTAGCGATATGAGTCAGTGAATAAAGTTAAACTCCCAGAGCACAGTTTTCCACTGCCAGGACAGACTTCAAATATCTCTGTCAGTGGTAAATGACATCATAATTCCTCACCCATCTTCAGAAACTGATAGTGGCCACATTTATAATGTTGTTGAACCCCTAAAAATATATGAACAATTATAGTGTCCCACTCTCTCTCTCTCTCTATATATATATATATATATATATAAGGACTGCATCTAACAGTTATTTATGATACAATTTTCTGAATTAACCGATTAATAGATTGGTTATTTCTTGGGCATTTTTCACAATTTTCTGACATTTCATTAGCCAGAGTCCAAGGTGGTTTACATATAGCTTATTTTGTCAAACCAACAGCCCAAAATACAAAGATAGTCAACTCACTATCATATGAGACAAATATAACTAGAAAATCTTCACATTTGAGAAGCTTGAACCAGCAGATTCTTTGCCAATTTTGCTTGAAAATTTGTTTTAAATGGTTAATCCATTATAAAAGTTGTTTCCAAATAATACTGTGTTAAGTAATGAATCAACTGAATTGTTTCAGCTCTCTTTCTAGGTGTATGAAACTAGAAATGTTGTTATTATTGTATTGTTTTCCTTCTGGCAGAGTCTCTTTGGCCAAAGATTGGTGTTCCTCTCAAAGTTGTGCGAACCAAAGAGAACAAGCTGAGTAACCGCTTCTTCCCTTACGACGAGATTGAGACAGAAGCCGTACTGGCAATCGATGATGACATCATCATGCTGACATCTGATGAGCTGCAGTTTGGCTATGAGGTGAGAAAAAGAGCCCCCATTCAAGCAAAAACCCTTAGCTTTTACCATACTTTGGCAGGTATTGCAGGGAACCAATTCAAGTTGATCCCAGGATCTAAAGTCATTCAGGGAGATTACAGTCTCATTCTCCACTAGTTGGGGATTTGACAGCATGCTGAATGGGTGTGTGTTTGATGTGTGAAGAATGATGACAGGTCTAGAGCTGATGCTTTCCATGCCCACATACCTGCCTAGCCCCACTTAGCCCGGCACACTCACCTGAATCCATTTAGAAGCCATTTAATAAAATTGTGCTCAGTTTAAGGATAATTACGTGGGATTACAGGCAGGGTATTGGAGCTGTCTGTCTGACTGGATGACATGGCTTCTTGCTTGCTGTAGACTAGCTGCTGGTGTCAAGCCTTGACATATTCAGCCAATCATGAGGCTACTTCTATCCAAACATATTTTAATTTGACTGTCAGCTGCTGTTTTTTTCCAGATAAAAATGTCTTTGATATTTTGAAACCTAAAACAACATTTTTAATTACTAATTCTCTTCTAAATACCACCAAAAGATTAATCTTTTAATGTAAGACATCAGTTCTCACCTAAGATCAATTCTGCTGAAAATGTCTGACATTTTCTCACCTGCTCCCAGGTTTGGAGGGAGTTCCCAGACAGACTGGTGGGCTACCCTGGCCGGCTGCACCTCTGGGACCATGAAATGGGGAAGTGGAAGTATGAGTCAGAGTGGACCAACGAGGTCTCCATGGTTCTGACTGGAGCCGCCTTCTATCACAAGGTGACCTGCCTGGTTGAAATTAAGTCTTTTTGGCTCTTGAGCTCTGCCTCTGACTCCTATCACACAAGTTTTCCTTAGAGCTACTCATGGATGTTACATCTTTTGCTTTGTAGTGTTGCACACAGAACCAACTTTGAAAAGAATATTGACCCATTATATTTTGAAATCAAATAAATATAAACTTTTCAGGAAGGATTAGAGAATTTCCTATAGACTCTGTTTTGGGTGTATATAGGAGTTCAAGCAGGAAGATTACAGTGATAGATGAGCAGAGTGTCATAGGTAGAACAAGGTTATCTCACTGCTACTTAAAAGCTCACACACTCACTTAAGTTCAAAGCAAACTCTAGTACAGTGGTTCCTCCTACATACTCTTGGGTCATCCGGTTAAAGAGTGTCTGCATTATTGTATATAATAATCCTGGAAGATATCTATATGACACCTCATAATCATTTGTTGTTTTTAATCTTTTTTCATTCCAGTACTTCAACTATTTGTACACATACAAGATGCCAGGGGACATCAAGAACTGGGTGGATGCTCACATGAACTGTGAAGATATCGCCATGAACTTCCTTGTGGCTAACATCACAGGCAAAGCCCCCATAAAGGTACATTCATAGGTCTGGCTACACTGGCCTGCGTGCTTTAAGCTTGCAGGGGGAGGCTGAAGCCTGACAGAGCGGACCACCATCTCTGGGTCTGATCAGCTCTCACCCTTCGACTTCACTGCCTCTCCCCCTCCCCATCACATTGACTATGCCCAGGTGCAGGGGCCCGAGCTAAAGCCCAGCCTTAACCTCCTTTATCTTGGTGTCACTCAATGGCACTCCCCCCTCTGAGTGTGTTTTCCCAAGCTCACCGGGGCTCACGCACACCCTGCCATCAAATCACAAGCTACACACTTCCCTACGCCTGCAACCGTGCTCCCACCTCCCACCATATCTCAAACAGGTTCCTTCAGAAAACACCCCATCCCACCCTGTCTGTCTTCCCCTCTGTGTGTCTCTCACTTTCTTTTCTCTTCCACACACAGATACATTCACAGGTCCAGATTGTTGGGTGCAGGAATGTGTACATGTGAGGGAGGCTAGACAGAGGAAAGCCATACATCATCTGTTTCCAACACCACTGATGAAAATTTTTCACCACAATGTGCTTGACAATGTTCTTGTAAGATGTCGCAGTCTTATTAGCTTCTGTCTGGGCTGCTGAAGTTTTACAAACAGTTAAAGTGAGCTGACATTACCGGTGTGACCTTGTTCTGTTCCTGTTTAGGTGACCCCCAGGAAAAAGTTCAAGTGCCCTGAGTGTACTGCCATTGATGGACTGTCCCTGGATCAGACACACATGGTGGAGAGGTATGCATAGTTAAATCTTATTCATATTTTATTTATTTGTCTGTGTGTGTGTGTGTTTTGGTATTATGCAGAATTTCAGTCGTAAAACATTTTTATAACTCAAAAATCAAAATGTTTTGAATATTAAAAAAACATTAAAGTCACATTTAAATTTAAATCACAGTAAAAATTGGGGTTGTTTGTCTCCCTGTAATTTAAAGGTTAGTTTCTTTTACTTACTCAAAGGGACTCAATCAATCAAACACTACAACCTTTGCACAATGGCTTACAATTTGTGTGGAACTCAATTTAAAGCAACCTGCTCCTTTTAAAAACCTACTGTATTTATCAGTGAAATTTTATTTAAAAAGTGTTACACCTTAATTATTTTCAGTCCTTTCAGTCACCTCTTTAAAATGAGATGCAATGGTTTAATTCAAGTCATATCTGTTTTTCACACAGGTGAGTTTAAATTTAAATAAACACACAAGATCAATGACTGGATAGAGCCGCTACTTGACAGTAAACACAGATATAAACTTAAATAAAATATAGATATATATATATAAAAAAATGTATTTGAGCAAGAAGAACACCTTACAATAATTGATAAGAAAGAAAAAGGTAAAAACTTCATCCATATCCATACACATAACATTATGAATCAGAAGCTGCTAAATAAATACTTTTTTTTTAGCCTGCTTTCAAAGTAAAAATGTTGTGTTTTCATCCCTAGGTCTGAGTGCATCAACAAGTTTGCATCAGTTTTTGGCACAATGCCTCTGAAGGTGGTGGAACACCGTGCAGACCCGGTGCTCTATAAAGACGACTTCCCAGAGAAGCTCAAGAGCTTCCCCAACATCGGCAGCCTCTGACCAGCCAGTACTAGGTGTTTGGACCTTGTCACAGCCTCAAAACTTCAAGATCTGTCACTATCATCATCTTTTATATCAAGACGTCAAAATTCCGACTAAAGTCAGTCATACTGTCACCTCTCAGTTTAAGTCACTTTCACTTTGTTTGATTTTTAAATTGAGTGCTTTGAGTTAACCTCTTAAATGACAGAGGACACTAAAATCTGGGGATGGTGATGACAGTAATTTGTCTATTGGTCTTTAAGTAAAAGATATTTCCAAACGTTTACCAATACTAAAGCGTAGACTAATGTTACAGAAACTGCTCTTGGAGGGTCACCCTGTGTCTGCTGTTTGACACACTGACTGATTGGAGGCCTCTAGTTCCTCACTGTTACTGTTTTAGAGCTGGAAGCTTTGGGCTCCTGCCACTGTGGAATCAACGTATACAGTGTATATATTTGTATTTTGCAGCAGTGCTGTATAATAGTCATAATTTATGATGCTCCAACAAGGATTCTCTATTTTTCCTTCTTTTTTTTTTTTTTTCTTTCTTTTCAAAAGCTGACATGGACCAGATTATTATAGTTGCACTGTATGAAAGACAAAGTAATAAATGTTTAAATTACATTATATATAGTAAATGAATCAATTACAAATCTATGTAGGCTTTATCAAATGGTTGTGAATGTGATAACACAGGGTGCTGGCTAATAGATGATGTACAGTAAATGTTTCACACACATTCTGTTTTACACAGATTGGATTGTTAGACAAAGTTATTACCATAAATATAATATTTAGAGTGAATAACTGCTGATTTAAAAAAAAAAAAAAAGAAAAGAAAAAAAAGAAAAAGGTTATGCTGAGCTACTGGAACATCTTGAATTATACTGCCTGAGTAAGATTTTCGTCATATTTATATATCAGAAAAGCCGTGGTGCTTATGAAGCATCCACTAAGTCATTTCATGAGTTGAGTTATGTGTATGAACACTGCATCAGTATAAGTAATTATTTGTTTACCATGCATTTGGAGACATATTGTATAGTGAATAACAGACAACTCCCAAATCCACTTTTCAAAACAGATGTGTATAAACAGTTAATGCAATGCTTTATTTTTTTATTTTTCCATTTTACCTGTTGTGTGTGTTTTATATTTTTGTCCTTTTCATCACTACTTGTCCCAACTTCAGTATTTAGGTTGTAACATTGACGCAGCAGTCTTTAAGATGTTCACAAGGCCTTGTGATGTTTTTATTTGCCTTTTTTATTATTTTCATGAGGTCAGTGAAATTGTTTTGAATTTGTTTGACAGAGTTTATGTATCTAAGTGTATATATGACTTTGTAAAACATTATAAGTAAAGACCACACTAATTCATCTCAGAGTTTTAATGGTCCCACTCCTCCACCCCCCCACCCCACCCCCCACCCCATTTACACACGAGTCAGGTGGGAAGAGGATGAAGTCAGACGTTTTCCTTTTTCATGTCTGCTTTTACTCCAATCTGTGACCATCCAGAGCAGACCCTCCATGACACGGCCGATCCACAGTTCCCTTCAGCCTGTCACCTGTTGTTAATATACGCTGCCTAATCCACCCTGTTCAATGTCAGCAGTTCAAAAGGGCGCAGTTCGTATTTTTGTCAACCTCAATTAGTGTGATACTCTTGCGGGTTCTGCGATCTCATTTCAGCACTCGTGTCCCTTCAAAGGCACTGAAATGCATGGGGATTTCAGAATGTGACTAGAGGGATGACACAATATTTTGGCAGGGTGGAGCAATGCAACAAGACACAGCATATTCATTATGTTTTTTTCAACGCCAGCAGACAACATAATCACAAGTTGTGATCAACCAGTGTCTTTAGCTGATGACTTAAATGGTTTTTATTGAAACTGGAAGTGACTTGAGTGATCTCTAAATACTGATAGGTCATTAGTCTTGATTGTCTTGATTTTCCTCTGTACAGCGTGGTAACAGTTGGTCTGTTGAGGGAGGGAGCAACTGATGGGAGCAACCATCACAATTACCTGGCAAGAAATCCTATCCTTTTATATACTGTCTTTTTCTGTCACTCATGTACAACAATTTATAAAAAGTTCAAAGACAAATACTGATTCTGAGTAGAAGTGCAATAACTTATTGTACTTTAATCACACACAAAATGTAACAAGAATTAGTAAATTCATACACTCATTTCAAAAGACAGCTTGAAGCCACAACAATGTGAGAAAACCTTTTGAAACTCATAAGAATTAACATATCAAGAGAATAAAACAATGTTCAAACACAACTTTTGAAATACAATTTTACCATGTACCACCAAATGAAAAAAAGGTGATACGCTTGAATGCTCGATAAATTGTCTCACAAAATAAAAACAAAACATCTAATTAGTAACATTTCCAAGAGTTTTATAACACTTCAGTTCATTTTGCATGCACAAAAATGCACATGCACACAACAGCACACATATTTATCATATATTTACTCCTATACTGGTTGCCTGACTTCAGTAGTATTAGAAAATGAGAAAAATGGCCGATGACATCAGATGGAGTTGTGCAGCATACAGGAGGAAGAGGCATTTTTTATGTAAAGCTAGTCTTGTATTAACAAGTTTTTAAGGGGTAGATACAGTATCTGTGGTTCCTGGTGGAGGAAGACATGACTGGAGAAGTTTCAATCCAAGAATAAAGAAACTTAAATACCCAGAAAGGAGTGACAACAGTGAGTTGAATTGTCTAAACCTGAGCTACTGAAAGCCAGTATGTCTGTGCGCACTATGCAGAGTAACAGTCTACATTAAACCAACTAGAAGACAGACGGCCCTGTCTGTCCTGACACACAATACTGCAGTGCACAGCCTCCACATGGCTCAGTGTTAATTAAAAAGCCTTCCTGGGTTGGCCGTGCGGCTGTGCCTTGGACCCTGCAAAGTGGGGGTGGGGGGGGGGGGCGGCTTTGGGCCGGGGGACAAATGAGCAAAAGGACAGCGACAGTGCGATGTGTATGTGTGTGCTGAGGTGGGTGATGAGGAGGCGGGGGTGAATCTTTGAAAGCAGAGCCATGACAGCTGAGGGGGAAGCATGTGTGAGGCATGTTTGTTTTGCATTTACCCCCTGAGCGCAGCTGTGTGCACTGTCCTTTTCCCAGAACACCGGAACACAGCAGACGCCCTCACGGCTCGCCCTCCGTCCAACCCCTCAGCTAGAGCAAAGGGGGCCCCATGTCCACATTTGCAAGGAGACCCTCTCAGTTTTGAGACGTGACCTCTTTAGTCGGGATTATGCATATGCCTTGGATTTGGACCGGAGAGTAGAACTGGATGTAATTTGGATGACTTTGGGGTGATCTGCTCTGCTGACAGGTTATAGCCTGCACCCTGCTTCTCTTACCTGCCCAGAAGGACAGTGAATGTGGTTCGGTTTAGAGAATTAGCAATGGTTTCTCTGCCTGAAGGTGTAGCACAGGGTATCGGGTTTGCTTTTCAAAACCACAAAACCCTTGTTATGCTTAAGGCCTAAATCCGGCCTTGCAAACAAAGGAAGAACATGCATAACTTCATCCGTAACCCTCATCTTCTATTTCTGTCACTGGAGGAGGCAGTCACCAGGGAAAAAAATATTTGAATATTTAAATGATATGAGGATGTGGATATAATGATATGATTGGGGCTCAGAGAGATCACGCTCATCTTTGGCTAGTTCCAGCTCACTTTAACCTCTACCTTTCCCCTCCTCCTCTCTTTCCAGAGAGACGCAAACACAAGACATATCATTCCGAGCCTAGATGGAAGTAAACAAGGAGTAAAGGCTGACACACGATTCCTTTACTCTGACATGTTCGTGGTTGTACTGAAACAGGTACTGCTCAGATATCATGCATGATATCTGAGCAACAATTATCTAAACCATGGCAATTATCAATCTGTTTGAGGTTGGTAGTTGCTGTTGGGCCCCCATTGCCTCCATGTTCCCTTCAAGGACAGTGCACACAGCACATTACAGAGTCACAGTCTTTTCTCCAGAGACTCAGAAACCGACCAGTACACCTATACTGGAATTCTAAATGATCCCAGGACTTCTGTTTGTCAGTTAGTTTGTTGCAGTTATTTGATTAAACGCCGCTCTCTTTAGCATTATACCCTATGTGGGCAAGTTATAAATTAGAATAATTAAGGCTTTAGTACCAGATTTTTGACACATGGCCCCTTTACAAGATAAGACCACAAGATTTCATAATAACCCAGCTGATATTGCACTTTATCTGTGCAAAATCACAAACAAATTTGCAAGTAATCAAATTACCAAAAAAACAACTGACAGAGTGAATCTGGGAGTTTAGGGTCAGGGGTCAGTTGCCCACTGTGCCCACCTAATAATAAGGATAGTACCTCATTATTCCCATAGAAATCCCCTTGACTCTTCCTGTTGCCTCGCTCAAATATTGAAAGATTGAATACCACCATTCAGCATCATTTAGATACGTTAGGTGTATATGTGATGAAGAGAGACATGTTTTGTGGTAAAATATGAATCAGGGGGTCTGAATATGTAGGATGAAGTTGACATTTTCTCAAGACTGTGCTTAGTTGTCCACGGTGCCACGTCCAACTGAGATGCAATTAATCCTTACTGAAGTTGATAGATGTTACTCTTCATGAATCTGGTTGATGGCTTCCTTTGTTTGGTGTTGACAGGGATAATGAGAGAAAAAGAGAAAGAAACACAACATGTATGCCAGTGATGCCATGTGCATTTACTGGTCAGCTTTGACAGCCAAAGTCCAGAAAAGGCTGTTGAACACTGACATCCTTTCAGTGTTCAAAAGTGTCAACACACTCTGTATAATCTCCACCAGCCGCCTCTGTTTCAAAGGTGGTAGCTGCTGGTTTCGCTGTTATTTCTGGCAGTCTGACTGACTAGTAGGCACTTCTCTCTCTGAAACTCCTGAGACTGGAAATGCAAAGGGCACAGTCATGTCCACTTGGAGTCTGTCCTCCTGAAAAACAGAGCTGGCTCTGTTTGGAGGCTGGCGCTCCCAGGCTCTTCAGCCCTGAGACCAGCAGGCCTGCTGTGCCCCTCTTATACTCCCACACATACTTCCTCCTCCATCCCTTCCTTTCTCTGGCCATCAGCAGGCTGAGTCAGTGCGGCAGGTGGATCTCTCACCCTCACCGCACTGAAACAAACCGCATTTCATCTGTTTGACTTTTAAATGCTAGAGGGGGAAAAGCACTTCTAAGTTCTGCAGTTACTGAAATACAAACCCAGAGGTGGTTATTTTAATGTTTGTGTTGGATGTGAGAAGCTTCATAACGTGAGTGATATGCTGGATATGCTGGCTAAACAGTTTTCTGTAGCTTTATCTTAGCACCAGCATGACTTAAGTTAAGCATGGGTTAATGCTGATAAAGATTGCCTTAAAATAATATGTACATTGCAAATAACAACTAAATCTGAATTTCAGTTTTTTAAGGATGCTTGCTGAACTATTTGTCAAATCAAACCCAGCGACAAAATGACTGGAGGGAAAAACACAATAACACTCAAAATTTAAATAACACCGTAAGAATAAAACAGCACCTGAACAAAGAACTACAATGACACTGAAAGCACTGTACAAACAGAATTTCCTGTCTTTTAGCAAATAAGTGCATGGATTTGTTTGAAATTCTTAAACTTTTCCTAAGATTTTCCTTTGCCTATTGTCAGTAATACACTGCAACTCCTGTTATACAGTACAGCATCACCTCCCACCGGGCTTTCCACAAAGCTCACTCGCCAACTGTGGTTGCTTTCTCCCACCAGAGGGGTTGAGAAACATGGCGGTGCTGTGCCACTTATGCCAAATCTCTCGTTGTTTTCTCTTGGAGTAATCTTCACCCATCTGTGTATTTGCATAATTATTTTATTGCAACATTTATAAAGGTAGTCATTGTTGCCTTTAGAATTTTTTGATTTTAGTGCCTCCTCACGCCATGACGCCATGTTTAGTTTCAGGGGTCAACGAGGCCCCCCCCCCCATCCGTGACATATCAACACATCATGTGGCCCAAGATATGGCTGCACTGTGCTCTTTGGCCTTCATGCGCAAAGCGGCGATACTGGAGGACTTGCGGTCTGGGTCCATGTTGAGATCGTACGTATTGATGCCTGCAGCCATGCCAGGAGATCCTCCAAACAGGCTGCCCATGTGAGCCTGTCCCACATGACCTCCAGGACTTGGTACACCCAGAAAATCAGACACCCCGCTGGCAGAGTGGGGGTGAGGGGTCATACAGGGAGTCACTGTGTCGCAAGGTACAACACAGCCTGGCACAGGGGATGCTGCACTGCTCCCGCCGATCCAAGAAGGGTTCTGAATCTGAAATA